ACATGGTGTTTGTTATGGACAAACCATGCATTGCACAGAAGTCCAATAACAGAACAGGCCGTTCCTCCCAATCACCCCTCTCCAGGTCACACTGTCATTGCCCACGTGAGCGTTGAAGTCCCCCAGCAAAACGATGGAATCCCCTCGTGGTGCGCCATGTCCCGAAAGCCAGTTTTGTCAGCCGGGGATCAGACCGCCAGGGCCTCCCTTGGCCACCACCCAATCCACAAAGCACCGAACCCCTGACATTCCCCTTGCGGGTGGTGGGCCCACCTGGGGACAGTCCCGCGTGCCTCTTTCGGGCTATGCCCGACCAGACCCCACGGGCCAATGGGCCCCCCCCCAGGCCTGGCTCCAGGGTGGGGTCCCGGTGACCCTAGTCCGGGCGAGGGAAACAAGACCTTGCTAGAATACATTATCATAGGGTTCTTTTGGATTGCTCTTTGTCTGGTCCCTCCCCTGGGACCTTTTTGCCTTGGGAGACCCTACCAGGGAATATTGCCCCTGACAACATAGCCCCCAGGGTCACTGAGGCATACAAACCCCTCCACCACGATAAGGTGGCAATCCAAGGAGGGGAAAATTAAGAGACCACAAGACAATTTTTTTTTATTCATTTCTCAATTTCTGGGTGTGTGCCTGTGAATAATATTTTTTTTTTCCAAACCGCAGCCTGGTTCTTCTCTGTTTCTCATTAATGAAGGGCTTCTTTCTTGTTTCATCGGACTTCAGTCCTGCTTCTAGGAGCCTGATATGAACTGTCCTAGCAGTTCACTTCACACCTGCACTTAATGTTTCCCATTCCTTTCGAAGGTCACTTGATGTCATCCAACGATTCATGAGAAAATGTGAGATAAGTTAATGGTCATCTCTGGCATTAGAATGTCGCTTCCGCCCTTTTACATGGCTGGTTTCTGGTCGTTCTTGGTGTCTTCTGCTTCAGGTTCTTCTTGTGCACTGCTGTGTTAGAAATTTTGAACCTAGAAGCAACCTGCTGATCAGCGTAGCCTTCTGCCAGCAGAACTATGATTAAACCAGGATTTAAAAATACAAATTTGTTTAAAAAATAGAGTGGTCTCTTAATTTTTTCCATGGTTGTATAACCATGTTGTTAGCTCTCTTACTGTGTGAACACATTCTCCACTGAGTACAACACATGAGTTGAATGTTAGGTTTTTCAGTCATGTACAGTTTCTTATGTTTTCTTTTATGTTCTAGTTTATCTGCCTTAAACATGTCTTCATGTTTCACAGCGAACTCCACTGTGGATCCTGTGTCAGGTAACTGATATTAATTACTCTAATATTCAATTTGGTTTTCTGATCTGTGAAAAAATAGCAGTGAGGAAAGCTCAGCCTCCAAAAGAGATGAGTGTATCAAATATCATCAGATGTCAGCTTTGTCCCTTCAATAAACTATTAGCAGGCTGAGATACGGTGAATTACTTCAGGTATGGGGTATGGATTTGGAGAAGGAGGTTCAGGTTCATGTGCGTTTGGTACATGGCTGTGTGTGAAGGGAAAAGACAAATTACCCTGTTTTCAGGAGAATGGAAGCCATCTGGTCCACAAAGGGGGCAAATGTCCTGCATTAGTGCGAATAAACTGGCAGTTTGGCATGAAGTATGTAATTGTCTTACTGTATGGCTTATAGTGTTGTAATTGGGTTCTCCTATGCGGTAAATGGCAAATTACACACTAATCTAAAACAGGTACCATTTAGAACGATATCAATGACAGGGACACTGGTGAAGGCAATAGCTGCACCCAGATAATGATGCCTGGACACATAAACACAGATAATGGAGCTTCTTTTAGGCCAGGTGAAGGAAAAGCAGCCGGTAGAACAGGGAATCCCAGTCAGCCGTGCAGAGCAGTGAGAGCCAGGGGGCGGCTGAGAGGTACTGCTGAGGGTAAGAGCTGAAATAGGGGGCCTGCTACAGCAGGGGATGAGGGCAGTAGATTTTTTTTTCTTGAAGTTATTTCTTTTCGATAACTAAATAAGCGTGTGGTTTGTGCAACTACCATGAAGGTCCTTGCAAAGATGTATTGGTTGGTTGGTGTTGGTCTCGAGGCTGCAGGGATTGCTGCACTGTGCGGGAGTGGTATAGATGCTGTGTGCACTTGTGCTGTGTTGTGCGCCTGTTGAACGCTGTTGACTGGAATTATTTGGAAGTATATTTTAGTGTTTGTGCCAGTACGGTTACGTGGGAGGTTGTTGTTTCATTTTTTACTTTTATTTTGTTTTTATTTTTTTTCTCAGTCTGCGTGAGTACTTGTCTGTCCTTGTTAACTGACAGCGCGAGTGTTATCGATCGCTGCGGGTGTCGCACGAGCAGTGTTTCTGTCCGTGTACCTTCGCTACAAACAATCGCGGGGTAATATTATCTAATGCCGGTAACATTAACTCGGAAAAGGACAGTTGGTCCTGAGCTTTGCTTGGTCGCCAGTCGGAGCCGGAAGGACATTTTCCACTTTTCTTCCCGCTCCGGCAGTAGCCGGCTTTGAGAGGGTTTTTTGTGGTTTTTGGCCTCCCTAGAGCAACTTCGCTTTAGTTTGGTTCAGCAGGTAGTTAGTCTCGGGTAAGTAATTGTTAATTTGGTT